AAGAAGAAAGAAAGAAAAAGTAATAGAAAAAGAAAGAGAAAAAGAAGAAGAAGAAGAAGAAGAAGAAGAAGAAGAAGAAGACGGAGGAGGAAATGAAAAAAGAAAAATATCGAGGCAGAGAGGAAAAGAGAAAAAGATCTTTTTGGAAAAGCACAGGCGCAACGGAGTATCCGTGTATTATTTATTATCATCTTTATCAGTCAATGAACGAGTGCGTCATCGTGAATATATTTCTTCCTCAAGAGAAAGAGATGATGCATTCTAACGGTACGAACTATATTCGTAACTATCAATTCTCTCTCTCTCTCTCTCTCTCTCTCTCTCTCTCTCAATCTTTCTGCCTTACCTTCCTCTTTTTCTTCTTCGAACTCCGTTACTCAGAGTCTTACGGGGTGATTTTTTTTCACCCCTCCTGTCTCTGACCTCGCCGGACTAAATTTCGCGCGTTAAGCCTACGGTGTAATCCCGTCCTTAATATTCAAAAACGTGATCGCCTTGCCAAGCGAGTCGAGCTTGAGCGTGATCGCAACATTGGAGTGGGGAAAGACCTCCTGATGGTATGAAAGAAGAGTGGGGGCTAGAAAACGAGAGGGATGGGGGAAGAGGAGGAGCGGTAAAGGGGAGGTAGAGGAGGGAGGTTGGGAAGCTTTTCATATGCTAATTAGCATTCGTCATTTTCTTATGGCACCGACTTAAGTGTGCTTAAGCTCGCTAACTCCTTCCCATCCTCCTATGGTCCAATCACCCTTCCTCCCTTTTCTCCCTCGTTCCTCTCTATCTCTTTTCTTTCTTCTTTCTTCATCTGTATCTCTCTCTCTCTCTCTCTCTCTCTCTCTCTTTCTCTTTTCACTCTTTCCTTCTCAGCCATTGGCCGAAGAGTCCTCTTCGAAATTGCTCGTTTCTCGATTCATCCCTGTCCGTTCGCGAGGAAAAGATCACAGAGCTGTAAGAAAAATGAACGAGGCTCTCCTCCTCGACTCCTAATACAGAGAGAAAAGTCGAGGATTCTCACTGGAATCTTGACGAGAGTCCTTTCGTGGTCTTTTATTTCCATCTCATTTTATCCTGAACATTCGACAGCATAGGCCTTCCATAAATTCTATTCTCCCTACGACAACTTGAATTTTTCTTATGGAAATTGACAAAATTTTAACACGCTCATTTATATATCGTATATTGATCCAATCAAAGTTACATCATTATCGTCGACGAGAAATAATTTTTGTAACTTGTTTTGTTATTTTTTATTTTTTCTTTTTTTTTTTTTTTTTTTTCTTTTTTTTAACCTTACTGTCATCGCTTAATCGAGCATTTTCATCTAATATGTTATACAAATAAATATTATTAATATTTCGAATAAAATACTTCTTAATTATACGTCGGAATATCTTAATCATTTTTAAAATACTCTTTTTATTTATCAATTTGACAAAATATATATATACATATATATATATATATATATAAAATTTAATACTTTATATTATCGTCAGATCGTTACGTTCGTAAAAATTATCAATAATCATTAATTTACCTTTAATTATAACGATTTTAATCAATACCAAGAAAATTAATTAAACGACAATAAAATAATCTTGAAAACTTCTTGCTCTTGACTTGGACGTTTCAATATCATTTTAATTACAAATGGTTCTACAATTATCGATTTAGTCTTGACTTGTATAGCGTTTAGTTTCGATCTATTCGTCGTACGTACGAGTAATAACATCGTCCCTATCGTAACACACGCATGTATTACATTCGGCCTTTATCGAAAGATATCTTAGCTGCGTATCTGTAATGAGATAACGTGCGCGTTAGTTGAACCAAAGTGCCGCACCTTTGAGCTCTCCTTAGTCTCTTTCATAAGTGTTGATGGTGACAAAGAGAAAAATAAAATCTTGGGAGTATTAATAATAATTGTAGATCACGTGAAAAAAAAAAGAAAAAAAAAAAACAAGAATTTACGGAAAATATTGTTTATCATTTCGCATCATGTGACGATAACGAGAGACACGCGAGTGTAATTATAATATAAGGTTAATTTTTTTTTTTTTGTTCGGCATTGGGCCGATTCACGAAACAGGTATGAAATAACAAAAGGATTAGATTCTTTTAAGAAAATATCTTTTATCTTTTCTTTTTTCTTTTTTTTTTTTTTTTTTCTAATCGATCTCGAAACATTCACTTATCGTTATAATTTGTTTATCAATCTGTTTAAGAAGAAAATGATTCAGATTAATTGAAAATGTGATAGAAAAACTTGGCACTCTTTCGAATGATTCACAATGACGCATCTGTCGCGTGTTCTCTACCTACACGTGTGATTTGTTCACACGAAAGCATTATGTATATACTTGTAAAAACACTCTGACTCTAATTGATATTATATTAAAAAAAAAAAAAAAAAAAAAAAAGAAAAAAAAAAGGAAAAAGAAAAAAAATAGCCGGAAAAAAGCTACAACTTAATTATATTGATTTATAAATATCTTTGTTGAAGGTAAACTCTTTTTCAAACGATGACTATACATCTTCAAGAAGTGGTAAGATCAGAAGTGGAAGGTGGTTTGTCAGGACCGGCTAATCCAATACCCAGCCAATCGATTGATTGTGGATGTAAACAATTACCATGTCCAAAATTAGCAAAATTCGCAACGAGACGTACGTTCGTTGGATTAATATGTTGGATCGGTCTTCTTCAAGCAGCTTCATCGGCATATTTTAATATTATTGGTTCTACGATAGCAAGAAGATTTCAATTCGATCCTTACTTGATAGGTACGTGATACTGATCTGTCAAAACTTATCAAAACGTGAGACGTTATCCATAAACATTTTGTTTTGCAGATTGGATATTGGTAATTTCGGAATTAACACCTTTTTTTTTTGGTCTAATCATTGCATATTGGGGTGACAAAATTCATAGAGCATCGTGGATTGGTGCTTTGGTATTATTACAATGTGCTGGTTATGTGATATTGATAATACCACATCTAACTCATAAAATAAGAGTTATCGAGGAAACGTCAAATGTCACGCATATGTCTCTATACGCAGGTAATTTCTATTAAAAAAAAAAAAAAAAAAAAAAAAAAAATTTGTATCAATATTTTTTATAAAATATATAATACGTTTAATGAATTCTAGAGGAGTTAACGAACCTGTAGTTTGTTTTCAGACGATAGTCCAGATTTATGTTCGACCAGTGCATCCAAGGTAATAGTGGAAGTGGATGACACGTGTTACTTCACTCTAGCAATTTTAATTTTGATACAAATTTTAATTGGCTTGGCTAATATAGCCTATTATGCACTTGGCATATCTTATCTCGATGATAATACCAAGAAACAGCATGTGGCGGGATTTTTAGGTATTATAATCGCAGTAAAAATTATCGGTATTCTTTTGGGATACATCCTCGCTTGGGGTTGCCTTCGGTAATTAAATGAAAATATAATATCTCGATTATTAAACATGGAATATTCAAAGGATTTGCATATATCTTTTATCGTTCATATTTGCCCAGGATAGACGCGGAGAATTTGAAAGTTATAGAATCTTATCAAGAACAAATAGGTGCTTGGTGGCTTGGTTTTCCCATACTCGCAATAGCCATGACAATACCTGGTTTATTTCTCTCATGGTTTCCTAGAAGATTACCTTCTGAGGTAAAATTAATATAAAACATAGATTACTGATCAAAAGTTCTCTTTTAAATATTTAAAATAAATTCTCTGATATGATATTGATTTTATGAATTTAAATTGATATTTTAACTTTCACCATCAAAATAATTTAAATCTTAAATTTTATCAAAATGAAATATATGTTCATAAAAAATTTCTAAACTTTTAATTCTCGGTATATATATATATATATATATATATATATATAAATGATTAATAAAAAACAATAATGTGAATTAATTCGACAGGTAGTAGAACAGGCAGCAGCTTCAATACTCGATCGTGCGGGTACATTAACTCTTCGTCGACTAAAATCAATCGATCATAAAATTGGTACTCCAAACTTTACTGCGATGGTCGGAAGGTTGATCTCAAACAAATTATTGATATGCAATATTCTTGCTTCGGCCTTTTGTGCTACTGCTCTCTTGAACTTCATGACACACGAGAATATCATTTTGGAATCTAAATATCATATACCAAGACCTACAGGAATGTTACTCGGATTTGGGGATCCCTTTCATTCAAGATTAATCTCGACTATTTTGAAACCAATTTTAATTGGACTGATCATAATTATATCTGGATTGGTATTGTCCAAAGTTAAACCACGAGCAACATTTATAGCTGGTTATAACTTTATTATGACAGTTTTAGCAACTATTACAATATTTGCTTTGGTATTTGCATATTGTGATACGCTACCAATTGTTGGGATGAATAAAGGATCGTAAGTACATATATATATATATATATATATATATATATATATATATATATAATTATTTTTATTGCTTTGATCTTCATTAATTATAATATATTTTAATACGATATTTCATTCATTTGGAAGAATCAATTTGTTGAAATACTGCAACAAGGATTGTCGTTGTTCGAGGGATTCCGATTTTCGACCAACCTGCGACACCAGAGGCATGTTCACTTTTTATACGCCTTGTCACGCAGGTTGTACCTCTATAAATTATATAGACAATATCAAGTTCTACAGTGATTGCAGTTGCGTCGAAGATATGATGGGACAAGGAAATCTAGATGCTAAGGACGGTCCATGTGGCTCCTCTAATTGCCAAATTGGATGGCTAGCCTTTGAAGTACATCATTGACTTTTTAATATAATTATTATTCGACAAATTCAATGAATTCGTTCATTAAAAGAAAAAAAAAAGAAAAAAAAAATAACAACTTTTGTTATTTCAGTTTGGTACTTTGCTTTGCTACGCTTTGATCGCTTCCACTTTCGTTGGTGATCTATTGATCAATCTCAGATCAGTCTATAAACAGGACAAAGCGAGTAGTATAGGATTCTGGATGATGTGGGTTGCACTTTTCGTCAATGTACAGGGCAAGATTCTTTATCAAGTGATTGCAAACATGACATGTATACATTGGGGTAATAAAAGGAGTATATGTCATCTTCACGACAGTAAAAAACTTGGAAATTATATGTTCTACTTGACGACCTTGCTACTAGTTATCTGCATTCTTTTTAAGATTTTGGTATGGATTTTCTGTAGAAATTTAATGATATATAATAAATCGATTAATGAAAACGAGGAGGATACGGCCCAGGAATTGATGCCAATACAACAACCTACGACGAATTCGAATCAAAATGAGCCTAAATCTGATGACAATGGTAATTAAAACAAAAAAAATTAATAAATAAATAAATAAAAAGAAAAAACTATATTTTATAATATCTATCGACATGCTTTAATAATTATTTATGATTATCTAGGTATCGTTACATGTCCAGTAGGTCCCATAACTACAGAAAGAGAAGTATTACAAGTTACAGCTAAACCAAAAACAAAAGAAGAAGAAGATGATGAGGAATCGAAACGTCCTTTAATATACGGTCCTTTGGGTCCTGGAAATCAACGAAATACCAATAACGAAATATCAGTTCAACAGGATCTTCTTAGAAAACAGAAAAATCGAAATCTCGAAACGGACGACGAGCTCGATAGTTCCAGCGATGAAAGTAAAAAAAATTCTAGCCCGAAGATCGCATACAAACCATTGGAATTAGATTCGGATATTGAAAGCGATCTTGGAAATACAGCAGCGAGATCACGAAAGCATGTTCTTAATAAAGATTATGATATATTTACGGAGAGATCGAGTTCGTCGTTGAGTTCGAAAAGACGAGAATTTCCGAATCCAGACGATTATGGAGATCCAAGATCGATAAGGAACGTTTCTACGAAGGATCATAAAGCATATGAGGATGGATCATCTAAAACAAGTAGCTTTGAGTATTCCAGGGCATTCAAAAAAGGAGACTTCAATGAAATTGGTATACCAATAGTCGAATATCATCCTCAAAGCTCCGGCAACTCGGCTGGAAAAGATTCTCCATTGTTGAAAGACGTTAAATCGTTGATAAATAAATACGAACAAAATTCGAGCCAAGAAAGATTGGAGGATGATCGAGTATCTATTAAATCGGCTGGTAAGACTGGTATACCTCTTGTTGCTATGACTCAACCTAGACTCTCTTCTGGACAAGCCTCCTCAGGATTTGGCAGCTTGAGGGAAAGCTCTTCCGATCCTCGAGGAACTCCCAGTCCAAAGAACTCTTCTATCAAGGGTAGCAAAGGGGCACTCTGTACCGATTTGTGAATTATTTATGTTTCGTGAAACCACGAGTACACATACATACATACATATATAAATACATACATACATACATACACACACACACACGTACATACGATGGGGTCACCTTCGATCTCTATCGAACTCTATTCTCTTGTCGATATCTTAACTTTCGTTGCTTACGATCACTAAATCGTAATACGATTATTATAATTTTATATTTTATATTTATTGTTCGATTAAAATTTATTATGACGTAAATTTATTTTAACCCTTAGTTTACCTTACCTATTCTTCCAAAAGAAAAAAACGATTCGCTTTTATCCTTTATCTATAAAAGAGAGATTTCGTTATCAAATTTTTTATTATTCGAAGATCTAATTTTACGTAATATTTCGAAATGTTATGGAATGGATAAGGATATGTCACGTAATCTATCATAAAATATTTCATTATTTTTTTTCTCAAGCAACATATACAAGATTCCTGTTAATGACATTCTCGTTCATCGGTGATTAGCTTAATTTAATTTTTATCGATTATGAATATGATTCCTACGAGAAGAAATAATTAATTTTTACAGTTTTAATTCGTATGATATCATCCCACAGATATCAAATAAATGAGAACGTTAGTAAAATTAATTGAAAGGAGACTAAGTTCTGTTCGACAGACAGTCTCTTCCAAATGATAAACCAATATAAGATTTCGATCTTATATATAACACGAGCTTTAAATATTTCAAATGATTCTTAAGGTACTTGTAAAGTCTTTATTCGCCGGCCCTTTATCTTTTTTCCTTTCTTATTCTTCGTTATTCAAGTCTCTCTCTTTTTTTCTGTTCTTTTTTTTTTCTTCAACTCTTTTCGTCTCAAACTTGCTTGCGTCTCGTTTTGAAGAATAACACGACATCAAATTCTATCAAAGTGTATCACCTGGCTCCTCGGTAATGTCCTCTAATTCGATTTCTTCGTCGAAGATTTTCACGTCTTTCACGTAATACCAGACACCAATATCGAACAATGTTCCGATGATTACGAAACCTTGAAAAAAAGAAAAGAAATTTCTTCAACAAAAAGATCTCGAAAATTTTCCACAATTATTACATGCGTTAAGAAAGATAATAAATATCGAACAACAAATTTTCTTCCAGTTTATATTTTAATCAGTGCTATCAATGTTATCGATTGTCGTCTATATTAGGCATATATTTATTCATGAATTTTTCTGATCAACCATTTTTCTTTTTGTATCTTTTCATTCCAAAAAAAAAAAAAAGAAAAAAAAAAGAATTTTAATACTTCACTTTCTTATTTATCACCTTGTTTATAAGAATTAAAATGAAATGAACTTACTCGCCGCCGTGAAGTTCAGCAAGTATCTAAGAGCTTCGCCATTGTAGAGCCAACAATTTCCAGTTCCTGTATACGTCTTACCCCATACGAGGCAAGTTTTGTCTATATAAAATGAAATATTTGTTCATTTTTAAGAGGAAAAGTTTGAATTGAAAATACTCAAGAAACTAAACTCACCTAAAATGAATCCAAATAAAATAGGTGACGGTATAAAGGCAAATAAACTCATAATAGTCAAGCTAAAACCCATAGCTACTGTTTTATCTTTTTCATCAACGCATCTCACGGAAACAAGAAAGTTCGATGCCCTTCCGGTACCACCACTAAACTTGAGTAGACACATAACCGCGAGGAATATATGAAATTTACTCATGCAATCAACAGGACATGCCCCGGGTATCGCTGTACCTAAAGTTGGCATCGACTCGGCTTCCGTCATCTCTGTGGATATCTCGGTTGTAAAGCTTGAAGTGTTGTTCGCCATAATGAAATGCGTTAAAACGCGAGAAAATTTCGATTTCACGCAACTACAGTCGGTATAGACTTTGTTACCGTCTCCGTAAAGCTAAAGAAAATAGAGAAAAAAAAATTATGATTATGAGAAATAAATTGCATTGGATATATGATTATAATTAAAAATGCTCGTATATAGAATTACTTTATCCAGATAAATATATACATATATAGAAATCTTATATTTTCTAATATATCCATTTATAAAGTATATAATATAAACGTTGCGATCATTTATTAATTCTATTTCGAATGTTAATATGAAAGATAGATAAATAAAAAGGAACCTTCATGCTCCTACAACCAGCGTGACAGGCTGAAATGAATGTTTGACCATGTTCTGAGCAGACTGGATTATACGTAACGTAGTCACAATGGCAAAGCTCATTGCAAGGTAATTGGGTTTTCAGTACTCCGTTTGATTGAATAGCCATTTGATCGTCGTTTGCAGAACATCCCAAAAAGGCATAAGAAATTATTCCCATGATGGATATGGCACCAACCATAACGTTCCATGCTGCTAAATATCTAGCTTTTGGCTTATATTTGGAGATTATTAAGCCAGATAATAAAATTCCAAAAGCACTAGAAATTAGACCAACAGTACCGGTGATCAACGAAGAAACTGATGCTGATTGTTTGTACTGAGTTTCGATATATTTCGGCATAAAAATCCAATATGGCATATAACCCATAAAATAAAAAACCGTAGCTAGATTATTGCACATCAAAGTCGTATTAGTCAGTAAACGTTTGAACGTTCTTAACATGTCTGACAAGGAAGCAGGAAGTTCAGGTTCTTGATCGTTTCCCTTGATACTAGCAGCCGATTTATTTCTTTCTAAGGCTAACACTTTCCGAGCCGCTGCTCTTGGTAGAGTTTTTGGGAAGAGAGCGATAACGCATGCAAATACGAAGAGCAAAAAGGCCAAAATTATCCAACCTAACCACCATGCGCCAAGCCACCTGTTCGTTTATTGCCGTTTAAGTTTTATTTCAAAATATATCTGTTATGAAATCTTTATTGGATATCGTACCTTGGATCCTGAGTCGTAATGGTCGGTGTTAAGGTCGGACTGATGTAGAATTTCAAGGCAAAAGATGCCAGACCGTAACCTATCGCTGGACCTAACATCCTCAAAAAATATGAAAAACTTATGAGCGCAGGAGTTTTCGATTTTTGTATATTGTCATCCATATAAGAAACACCTAAAGTGTAATAAAGCGATCCACCAACACCCGAAACTAATTGGGCAATAAAGAGCAACACTTGAGGCGCAAAATTATTATCGGTATCCTCGCACTCTTGCCCACGGCCATCTTTGCCCAAACACAAAAATTTTCGATATTTATCGGGGATCAAATTGGTGATCGTGTTGTTGTCCGGATTTTGAAATTTTCCGCCATACTCTTTCGTCAACATCAGTGCATCCTCCCCCGGTCCATAAAGAAAATGTGGTAACATCGTCAAACAACAAAATAATACAACCTGAAAGGAAACATAAAATCAAAAATTTAATATCACGATATTGAACATTTTTACATATATATATATATTTATAGATCTATAAATACATAGATAGATAGATAAGTATATTTCTTCGTTGGATTTCAATCGTGCGAAATTTCTCATCAGAAAATAATTTATTATAAAAAAAAAAACAATAAACCATTATCAAAATCCTCTTTTTTATAAAGTTTGCAAAAACGATATTTACCATTCTGTTATCTTAATGATAACTCGACATAAGTCTCGAGCGATGTCACGAAAGGGTGATAAATATGTCATAATTAATCCAACGAGACTGTCTGTAAACGTTTGACCTTACGTGATTTTTGAATATAACTAAACAAATAACGACGATACGTTTAAATTTTGTTTTATGATATTGAAATTGGATTATTAAGAATTAACATGAAAAGAAATTAGAGAAAAAGAAAGAGAGTAAGAGAAAAAGAAAACGAGAGAGAGAAAGAAAGAAAGAGAGAGAGAGAGAGAGAGAGAGAAATAAATGAGAGATAGTCCATTAATTATATTCGACGAAATAATGAAGATCTTTATAGCGATAAAATAAAAATGGACGACAGCAAAGTTCCAAGCACTCCACGAGCGCCTTTTCACCGTTCAATGAATGAATCTAAGCATAGCTAAGCGTACGATGGCGAGAGTACGAGATGGTAAGAGGCGTGAATGAGCGTAGCTACATTTTCAACGCTTCCTAATTTAATTAAGAACCGACCAACCGGTGAGTTATGACGTTTCCCATCTCGTTCCTCTCGGGGGCGTCCGTCGACACGGACTTGACCGATACTACGCACATTTTTTTTTTTTATCGAACTGTCATATCTCGGATTTTCTAAGATACTTACGGTATAAATTCCGAATGCGATCCATCGTGGCCTGTGACCCCTTCCAGCGTAATAAGACAATACCACCGAGACGAACAGCTGAGAAATATCGTTACCTACGGTGATAAGACCTGCGACACGAGTTGTTAGCGTTAGAAAGAGAGAAAGAGGAAAAGAGAAAGATATATATATATATATATATATATATATATATATATATATATATATATGTAGCTTTGTTTATATAAATGGAAAGAGAAACAAAGTCATTTTCCATAAATCTCATATAGAGTACCATGTAAGATACAATCATTTTATCATACTTTAAATATTAATAAAATAATATCAATGAGTAACAATCGAATATAAAATAAATATGATAATTTTAATAATGTAAATATAATTTATAAATAGAGAAAGATAAGTGATATCTCACCGGTAGTCTTTGAGGGTATTTTGAACCTTTTTTCGATGGTGGTGATTGTGCCGTTAAAATACGCATAACTGGCCGAAAATATACAACCGAGGATGCCATAAAGGAAAACGTATGCCTTTTTATTGGCAAACCTCTGTAGGGTTGGTCCACGAAGACACCATATACCACATGAGGTGTCATCCGTGATAGGTAATTCCCTAAAAACATCTTCTAGGCCTCTGGTCGGTGTTGTGGGTGTCGTTGGGGTGGTTGGTGGGGTATTGGGCACCCTCAAGAGTTTCAAATTCTCAGGCCCATTTTTTTCGTGGCCCGAGTTGTTACTCGAGTTTTTTGAATTCTTCATTATCCTTTATATATTCGTATGGTTGCTAGCCCTACTTTATGACTGCCAACCCTCAAATGTATTTCTATTTCTCTCTCTCTCTCTCTCTCTCTCTCTCTCTCTCTTTCTCTCTCTCTGAGTGACCTCAATCCCGTGTCGCGTCCCGTTTCCGATCTCCGGTCCTTGGCATCGCTTTTCCTTTTACGAATTATGCGAACACCGTCGCGACACCGTAGCAACAACTCGCGACGGAACTTGATCTTTCTCCCCCTCTTTCTCTCTCTCT